CCCGGCTTGCTCCACCGCCGCCTCGCCGGGGCAGGGGCGAGCCCGGGCCCGCATCCAGGGGAGAGGGGCTCGTTTCCTGCAGGGCGGGGACAGAGGGGGTCGCCGCAGGCGACTGGGGTTTGCAGAGGGCAGGGGAAAAAGCAAACTTCTCTCCTGATCTGGCCCACAGTCCTTTTCAGCCGTGGCTAAGGAAGGGCTGTACGGCAAGCGTCACCTCCTCCCGATTTGCGAGGAACGAGACGTGACTGCGAAACCAGCAACAGATGGTAACGTTTCGACCGAGCCGCGAGACACCGAGGAGGGGAAACGTGCCACGCTCCCGCCGCGCCGCAGGAGCGGGGCCGCCGGCGAGACCAGCTGCATTCGCGTGTCGGGGAAGGAGGGGGGCAAGCAGTGAACCCCGTGTGTGCGGCAGGAGGGGCGCGCGCCACCCAGCTCGAGCTCCACTTACGCTGATTTTGGTCGCATCCTTATTTGTTACCTAAAAGAACAGAAAAAAGGGGGATGAGAGTCAGCTCTGCCAGCACATCAACAAGATGCTGATCTTCCCACCCCAGTGCAAGGCCAGGACACAGACAGATGCAACTTTCTCCGCTTGCCATTCACCCAGCCCGTGGGTGGCTGGGGTGGGGGGAGTTCCCCGGGCGATGGGGAAGGCAGCAAACCAGTGCTCAGCTGGGGGGACTGTTCTGGTAAAGCTCCTGCGGTGCCCACAGAAGCGCTGCCTCCACCAAGGGTGCGAACAGCAGCCAAAGAAATGCTTGTTGCATGCTGTGCTGCTCGCAGTCACTGACAAACGCTGGGGAAGATGCTTTACCAGCAGCATTAGCACAGCGGTGAAGCGCTCGGGCAGGCTGGATCCCGCACTGCTCAGGGCAGAGCTTCGGTCCTGACACATCCTGGGAGCAGGTATCGCTCAGCAGGTTTTGTACTTGGTTATTTTTTTGGCTCCAGCCAACTACTGTGAACCTAAGTGATGCCTCACATCTCACTGATGCACCTCCCAGGGAGACGGTCATCATTCTCCAGGCATGCCCTGTCATCATTTATTGTAAAAGCAACTCACGGTTTTTATATAAGGTTAAAGAAGACATTTAAATCCAAGCGATTTATTTCCCTGTCTGACAACTGACTTACACTTTCCCCAGCTAGGCGGCATCGCATTAGCTCAGCGTCTATATGCTTTGCATCTCTATTTGAGCTCTGCAGGAAAACAAGCATGCCACAGAGAGGGGAGCTGGCACAGGCACGGAGGCTGCCGCGGGGCACCCTGCTGGCACAGGGGCCGGGGGGCTGGAGAGAACAACGTGCCCCACGCAGCGGGGCAACACGGCCTGGAAATCCTGCTTTACCCCACTCCTTGTACAGCCCCGTTTGGCACAGGCAAGGTGTCTTGCACTGGCGGGAGGCTGCAGAATGAACTGGCTTATGTTGGGGAAATGCAGCTGAAAAATTTAGATTAGAGCCTACCGTCACGCCAGGCAGCTTGCTGGGGGAGGGGAAAGACACGCAATATTTAACTCTGCTTCATGCATTTTAATTACTACATCCGACTGTGTGAAAATGTCTTGCTGAGCTCCAGATATGGACACAGGTGTGTATGTGCACCCCAAGAAACTGTGCGCATTTGTACATGCAGATTGCTATGTACTCAACATACCAACAGAGAGGTGTATCCCTCATGCCTTTATCTGCTCTGTCAGGAGCAAACCTTTTACAACGATTACGAGCTCTCCCACCTTTTACAATGATTCCTAGCTCAGCCCACAGAGGCACTGGTTTTTGCTTGTCCCCACTTCATACTACAGCTATTTTTGACTGCCTCTCTTGGGTCCTCATTGCCGATTTTGCAGCAGGACATTTATCATTTTCTATTTACAATCCTTGAAGTACTGACATTTTTTCCCGAGGTGAAGTCCCCAACGGTGCATGCCCTGTCCTCCTCCATCCCAGGGAGGGCTCTGGGACGCCGGTGCTTCTGACCGCTCGCTGGCACGGGGTAGAGGAAGCGCGCTCCTCTCTGAGACTGCTGTGTTTATTTTGATCGCCCTCTGAGCATGTTGCACTCGATGAATAGATACATCTCCATAGCACTGTATTACCTTGCTCCTGCTGCCGGGGACACTGATGGCTAATTCGTGTGCAAGTTCTCTGGCTGGTTCTTTAAGGTACCACCACTGGATTTCCAAGGAGTAAGAGGTGGATCCGCTGGCTCGAAAAGCACAAGGCATCTCAATATCGTCTCCCTCCCTAACAGTCACATCTTTGGGAACTTCAGTAAAGGTAGCTGGGAGGGGAAGATAGAGTTACAAGGGCTGGTTAACGGCAGAGATTAAAAGACGAGATCAGTCTTTTTCAGCATAACGTGAGCTGTTTCAGTTCAAGGGCCAGGCGCTGACCGCGACGCGGGTTTGCTGTAGTCGGGTGACCGCGGGATAAGCGGAGCATCCAGACCGCACACCCGGGGCAGGGCCGAGCCGGTCCCCGCCACCCCGCAGCCGGGGGCCGCGGCTCCAGCGGCAAGGGGAAGTTTGAAGAGCATCTTAACCCCCCCTCCTCCTCCCCAGAAAGCCCTCGGCCGGACACAGGGGCACCAGTGTCCCACTGCCCCCC